GGGCCGGCAGCAGCGACGGGGCCGGCCCATCGCCGGCCCCGGGCGGCGTGAGCTGATCATACAGGGCGTCGCACTTTGGGCAGCGGTTGGACTAGACGACCTCCAGAGGGCCCTTCCGATTTAAATTGCTTTGTAATCGGATTACAAAATTTAACACGAAAACCAAGTAAAACTCGCACCGGCAGCAGGCTGTGCGGTTCAAACTTTTATTCCAAGGCATTTCAGTGACTAGACTTCAAAGTTTTCACAACAACCGAGTGTTACATGACAAGAGAGCAGAGGTGCCAACCTCACAGCTATACCGACTGCCGAGTAACGTTTCCGCGGCCGTACGAAAGTAGCACCGTGCAACATCTCCAGACTTCCTGCAGTCACCCCGGCGACATTGAGGCGATCTCTGCAGCAGGAGTTCAGCCTGATACTCGGAAAGAAATATAACAAGCCTGCCTCCAGTCCAGTTCCCATTCACCCCAAATCCTACAGAAGTCACTGTGTGCAAGCAAATGCGGATTCTACGTTCCTTAGCAAATACGTGATTGAGATTTTATTTAAACATAAAAAGATCATCACTGTGACCAGAAGTACCCCTACCTTCAATTCTCTTTCTTCTTTTTGCAATTTTCTTTTGTTCCACATCTGTTTGTATCTCTTTGCCCTCCAGTTTTACTTTTTACAGTCTCTTCCCCTTTCTTTTTTAACTGTCATCCTTATTCCTGGAAAACTTCCCTTTTTAAGTATTTACCCTGTTCTAGCCTCAGGCCCCACAACTGATAGCATCAGGATGGCAAAAATTTTTGCACGCAGAAGGCATGTAGAAAGAAAGGGAGTCCTTTTGTGCATAAAGCACTCTTGCCAAAGGGAAGCTCTAAGCTTCTAGCTCTGTAGGTACAGGGCCTAACAAAAAGAACCTGAGAGAATCTGAGACAGACGAAGTCTCTTACCCCTTCCAGCAGCAAAGAGGTAGATGCAGCAGTGCTTTTCATGTGGACTGAAAGGGGAAATTTTGTGGGCGAATCCGCATCAACTCCTTTTTTTGGCAGCCCTTTATGCAAAGCACTGGAGTGTTCTCATGGCCGCTGCCAGCAGGAGAACAAATCATTAACAAAGATTAGATAAGTGGGATACACTGGTTAGGCTATACCTGGCTTGTAGAATGGGAGCTTGACACCCATGCTGATGAATTAATGTAGCATGCATTCCTTAGGTGGAAAAAAATCAGAATTTTGATGCAGCTAAGTGAAACAGTAGTGATCAAAAAAAAATATCCCCAAAATCCCTAAGCTAGGCAGGTTCATCTTTAAAAAGGAGAAATATGGGTTAAACATGGCAAAGGTACATTGTATCAAAAAGACAATTTTATGCTTCTCTTCATTCAGCTCTTTGCCCTGTAGTGTAAGGGCCATTTGTGCGTGAAAAGTCTTGTTGATCTTCTTCATCCAAATCCAAAATGTCTGGGATATCATCTGACTCTGAAGACAGGTCTGTAATAGTGAAATCTGGAACCTGCGTAGGAATGAAATTTCAATCAATTTAAAAGTAAAACTAAATAAATTTGTGCAGTACTCCTCACTGAAGTCAGAAGACAAAGATGCTCAGCATCTCTAGAAATCATACCCAATATACTGAATACAGAGTGAAATATGCTCCGTCACATATGAAACACATAGCATTAAGACAGACCAAATACTATGCAAGATGTAGATCAGTTGCTTAGAAGACAGGATTTTATAGTAGAGATGGAACAGAGCTGAACTTAGTGGAGTGTATTTAGTGAAATTGGTGACTGGAAAATTAAGAAAGGAAGTTTTTAAACTTATTTTGCCTTTATTCTTTCCTTGGGAGCAATGGTCTATACAAAGGAACCTGCCTTGAGGAGCTTGATATGGATTGTTCTGTACTGCTCTGCCTGCCTACCGCATCAAACCTTTCCTGAGGAAACAAATATCTGGAACTGCAATCCCACTTTGGCCTCTGTTTTAACTGCATGTATAGTATTCTGTAGTGTTAAGCAGCACCAGGTTTCAGGAATTGCCAGAGACATTAGTGGATACATAGATGTTACACACTTCTAAAAACGTTGGCTAAGACACTTAGGAGCTTAAGTCCCAACCCTTAAGTCCCCTTAGTAGGACTTAGATTACTTAGGCACTTCTGAAAAATGGGATATAATTAAGCAATTTACTCATAACCAAAAGTTTTTTGCCCCAAGTGAAAAATACTTATATCTATAGTTTGATTCATGGTTAGCTTTAATGTTGGTGATGTGACATACTTGGAGCCAGGCACAGTATCAGCACATAACGATTGCTGCGTGCTGACAGGACTTTGGTTCTGCATGTACAAAGAAGCAGCAACTTGAAGAGGCTTCTAGGCATTTGTGTAACTTAAGCTCAGTGCTGACTGAAGAAGCAGTTTTAATCCATTCCCTAACTGCAAAACATCTTGCATATAACTTACTTTTATGAAAGACAGTATGCAAGACAAATCTATGCTTTGCCTGCTATGAAGACATGTCAGAGGAAGAGAGAACACATCAAAGGATAAAGGGATTACTGTTTCAGCTATCAGGTTGTAGATAACACTGAAGCACTCAACATGAATCACTCAGTTTCTTAGAGTAGGTAGCCACAGGGCACCAGGGACTTATAAATGTTAATTAAAATATTAAAACAGCTTCAGAAGAATTTAAGCAGCATGTCACTTATCAGGCGCTAGTGTGAATACCATGAAATGCATAGACCACTTAGAGAACCTAAGCTTGATCAAAATCAGATCAGTAATCTTTGTCTCCTAAAAATGGAGGAAACACATCTTTCTACCAGCAAGAATTATCTTGCATCTCTCTGCTTATGGCAGTTTACATAAAACTCTAATTACTGCACTTAGAGGAATCAACAAGTTTTCCCATTATCAGCACATGACCCTGTATTTCATACTGCAGTACAAATGGGGATATCTTAACAAGACTAAGGCCAAGTAGTCCATATGCAAACTCTTTAAAAACGTGCCCAAATGGATGGTTTAAACAAGTTGTTTTATTCTGTGTTTACACTGAGCAGGGCACATGACCATGTTCAGTAACAGTGTCTGACCAGGGATAATTTTCACTACATCCCAGGTTTAAGACACTAGTGCAAAACTTGCAAAATCATTGCATGGAATAGTGCAAAACATGCTTCAGTGTTTTGCTGTCTTCATACACAAATGTTAATGTCAATACTACCTTAACTTTAAATTAATCAATTTTGTCTTGCTTAATGTATTTTCAGAACTGAGCCACTAGCAATTTAAGAGATGGTTCTTATTTTGTGCAATTTTCAGAACAAGCACTTCTATTTAGTCATCAGAGACTGTATTATCCAGAAGAAACAAAATTTCCATCTTAGTATGAAAAGAAATACATTTAACAAAACATTGTGCACAATACCTCCAGTGAGCTGTTGCATGTAAGACTTTCTGATCATGGAAATGACCAACAAATCATGCTTAAAAAATAAGTTAGGTTCCATTTTCTCTTTTTAATTAGATGGCTTAGGTAAGTTTTCGGGTGGGTTTTTTGTGGTTTTTGGTTGTTTGGTTTTAGTTTTTTTAAATAAAGAGAAATAATTCATGAGTTGTTTCCAAATCTTTTCACCTATTTTACTAGCTATATAGTATTACTGTAAGTTGCAGTTTGGAAGGCCAAGTAGTCCATATGCAAACTCTTTAAAAACGTGCCCAAATGGATGGTTTAAACAAGTTGTTTTATTCTGTGTTTACACTGAGCAGGGCACATGACCATGTTCAGTAACAGTGTCTGACCAGTGATAATTTTCACTACATCCCAGGTTTAAGACACTAGTGCAAAACTTGCAAAATCATTGCATGGAATAGTGCAAAACATGCTTCAGTGTTTTGCTGTCTTCATACACAAATGTTAATGTCAATACTACCTTAACTTTAAATTAATCAATTTTGTCTTGCTTAATGTATTTTCAGAACTGAGCCACTAGCAATTTAAGAGATGGTTCTTATTTTGTGCAATTTTCAGAACAAGCACTTCTATTTAGTCATCAGAGACTGTATTATCCAGAAGAAACAAAATTTCCATCTTAGTATGAAAAGAAATACATTTAACAAAACATTGTGCACAATACCTCCAGTGAGCTGTTGCATGTAAGACTTTCTGATCATGGAAATGACCAACAAATCATGCTCTTAAAAAATGTTAGGTTCCATTTTCTCTTTTTAATTAGATGGCTTAGGTAAGTTTTCGGGTGGGTTTTTTGTGGTTTTTGGTTGTTTGGTTTTAGTTTTTTTAAATAAAGAGAAATAATTCATGAGTTGTTTCCAAATCTTTTCACCTATTTTACTAGCTATATAGTATTACTGTAAGTTGCAGTTTGGAAAAGGTTATTGCAAAAAAGTAATCTTAAGGAATGGGAGAGACTTCAAAAGCTTTCCACCTCTTTAGTTTGAGGTGGAAACTAGCTACATCCCTTCAAATCCAGTCCTTATACAAATCTTGTAATTTGGATTTGACCAATGTGTATGCTGCCATAAATATGATGTTTGCAAAACTTTTATATTGCATGGAGCTATTTAGAAATGCTTATATTCAAAACATTTGTAGCAAAGGATTATTAGCAATGATAGAATAATAATTCTCTGTTAAATGAGCCTGGAAAGGGGAAGTTTCAACCTGCATGAATGATTTTTGAGTGATGTCTTAAAGAGAAACAACCATTTTCTGAATTCTAAATAAACCCTAAATAACCTTACCAGTGATAATTACTTCATTAGTATTCTAACCTTTAC